TAGTTAGACAATATACATTTATATAGGTTATTTGAGTTTTAGAAACATAAACAGCCTTGTAATTAAAATTTAAACTTACATATACGCATACTTTGTTATATATTAAAAATATCTATCTGTACTTTTAAGTCGCAAGACTGTAACAAATAAATAAAATAAGGACGGATCATTTATAAACTCGTGCAAAATGGTTTGTCTCGCTTCTAACTCGGTTGCCATTTTTAACTCAAATGAAATTTCTTCTACGTCCAACTAAGGTCATGGTCAACTTATGGTATTTGAATTTCAAAATATTAAACTCTTTTTGGGTAATTTATAAGCTTCCCAAAGTGTCGCAGTTTTGGTGTGTTCACCCTTTACAACAGCAAAGAGTCGATTATACAGATTCGCACATAGTGAAGAGTAAAACGTAGAAATACATATGCACTGCCTGTAAATTATACACGTTTGTATAATAAATCAAAAACTTTGAATTGCAATGAAATTTCGCCTTTTATAAATTTTACCATTAGAAGGATAGTGCACTTTGTAAATAAAAAAACTTGCACAAATCAATGCGTTACCACATTTTATGACTAAGTATATACGAATATTTCCAAGCGTATATTTTATTTCATTTTGTACCAATTTGGTCATTTAATAAAATCATGTTTAATTAATACTCTTCAGTAAAGCTTTCATAACAGCGTTCCAGTTCTCTGGCCATTGGACTGGAAACTTTTATGTACTCTTGGAAAGACTAGTTCAAAATTAGCGTAGAACTAGACTTTTTGCCGGCAGTACTAGTTCTAGCTCAATACCCAAACAATGCATTCAACTGTCCAGTTTTACACGGCGATGTCATTGACGGTGGAAATTGTCGCCCAGTGTATTACTTTGAAACTTGGACAGTTTTCAGTTTTCGTTTACAGATTCCATGTTTCTTACATATTTTATAAAAAAAAAAAAAAAATATTGTAAGCGGCGACAGTATGGATATCTGCGTATAATTTGTTAGGGTGATTTTTTATTTATATAGGACTAAAACCACCTTGTTAAATACGCCTAGCAAATATTCTATGTTTTTGATTCAGAATACACGTCTCGATTCGGCTGGCTTATTACACCACACCAAAATCGAATAGGATCCATTTGAACTCTTACATATTCTAATGGGAATTTGTGGGGTGAAATAAGCTAATCGACACAGGCAGAGATGGGTTACCAGCAGTGTTGCCGCGAAGCATTTTTAGTGGTAGCCAAATTTAAATTTAAAAAAAGGGCTAAAAAAGAGCTAAAAAAAGTCATTGTGGCTAAAAATGGTAGCTAAAATTGTTTACTTACATCATCATATATAAGTATACACGCAAACATTTTCAATAAGTAATGGTATAGAAAAACAATGAACCCTGGAAAAAAGCTAATATTTTATCCAACCAAAAACCTTTTCGTATAAAAGGGGAAATATACGACACCAGCTTGCTGGCTCGATCAAGTGATTGTACCATCAAGCTCGAAGCATATAACTTAACAGCATGCTGGTACAATATTATAATATAATATCTTTACAAATGAGGTCGAGGAAAGACCGAAATTATTTGAGCCGAAATTTCGTAATTTTTCCACCACTTTGTTGAATATTGTTTTTTTTTTAATTCACAACTGCAATATCGTGAACTTAATATTCCACAAACACGGCTTTAAAATTTCCGCCAAAATTTGTTTACTTCGAAAATTTAGCTAATTTCACCACTCACGACACCAGCACGCTGGTACAATCATAAAATTTTCAAATAGTTTTTGAAGTCGCACCAGTAGCTGGTACAATCACACCACAAGAACATACACGGTCAATCGACTTGATGGGCCATTTAACTAATGAAGCATATTAGGGTCCAGTTTTTCAGTGCACGGCCGTGGTTCAAACTAAGTTTAAACGCCCGATCTGGCTGGTTTAAACTAAGATCAGCCAATCAAGTGTCAGCCAGCTGTTCAATTTAAACCCAGTTTACTTAATCTGAGTTTAAACTGGCACTAAGGGCCGTAAACTTATCTATTTTAAACTATAGTTAAATCGTCAATAGATAAGTTAAAAAACAGCCCTAACACTTATACAGTATGTATGTATAAAAACGTAAGGAACATACAATACATATATGTCAATCTTTCTTAGTTTAAAAATTCATCTCTTATATATATGCAAAAAAAAAAATAGATAAAATTAAGCATATACAACTTTTTCATTCCCAGTATGGATAAATTCTCCAAAGGGCTAGGGGCAATTTTAAATCTATGTGGTCAAAAAAAGTATGTGGTAGCTAAATCTAGCCACCAAAGGGCTAAAATGGCAACACTGGTTACCAGCCGCGTATATGGAACGCGATTTATTTAAGTTTACTCTAATAGAGTTTAACTGGTGAAATGAGCTACACGCGCGCAAACAACATAGAACTTGACGAAGTAGCATGTTTGCCCGCACATGCACATTACCACAAATTTTTGTATACCGTGTATGTACACACAGCTACACAGCGTTAGAACTTCACTACGATCGTAGTAGATTTGCTACGATTTTTATGAAAATTAGAAATTTACAACGCTACTCCACTTTACCCACGATCCGTTTCGGTTTTCTTTACCGAATAATAGAGCACTTATTGCAGTATCTGAACTCAAAAAATTCTTAGGACTGTTCTTTCAAGTAGCTTTGTAAAATGTATGTGGCTTTCAAATACATTTTTCGTTAAAGAATACTACAGTGGCTTTTAATAGATGAGGTCAAAGAGTGATTGGCTTCCAATTACACTGTACGTATGTATGTAATTTTTTAACTTTTGATATTTTCTAAAAAAGAGATTTATAAGGCCGGGAGATAGTTTTCAAATGTTCCTTTTTTGAGATATTGGTTTTTGATTTTGGTTCGTGCTTCATTTGTTCAAGGACTCCCTGAAATTATCCGACGAATATTTTTTTTTAACCGCTTCAGTGCTAGTAAAAAAACTAATGTTCACCAAAAAAACAAGAGCTTAGAATGTTATATAAGAAATATGGAAAATTATTACGTTTCTATTCCATTATAGATGCTAAAATGTTTTTAATTAAAAAGGCAAATTATGACGAGCCAATATAGTATGTATATAAAAATATCTACTACGAAATTTCAATTTCTGCTACGCTTTTTCACCTCATTTACTACGGTTTAGGCTTGTGGTCGTTCTAACCCTGTAGGTACATAACCGATGCTTCCTATTCGGGGTTACCAAACATCAATTTCGGACATTTTGGTATATACGCGGTATTACACACCAAGCGACGAAATATTTTACAAGTGTTTGACGCATATATCTAAAATGACTGAAAATAAAATGCAAATGTCTAAAACGAGAAACAAATGTGAAGCCCATTCCCTAAAGATAAGCTTTTTTCATAAACATGTTCTTCGTGGATTTTAAATTGACAACGAAGGTGGAGAACATTGGGTAAGGAAGGCTCAGTTTCGCTGGAGGGTGGCAAAAATATCGAGTCGAAGACCACCCTCTTTCACTTTTCATTATGGAAGGTGAGGCAAGAGGTTCGTGTTCCAATTATTTAAAATTTTTTACCCAAGCCCAATGATAAAATTGCCGTTACCCGTTCTTCCATGATGTGTAAGAACTTCATAGCTATACCGATTACCAGTAGCTCACTAGAAGAAAATATGTGTTAATTTTTATTACGGGAAGAAATACATATGTATATGTAAGTCAAATTTTTAAAGTCGATTTTCTCGAGTTTTTTTTATTTTTTAGGTGTGACAGTATTGAAGTAAATGATCGTTATGTTCATTTTATTGGCATTCATATTTGATATCGAAGATAGTTTTCGACCGTTAGCCACATTGTTTATTGGGTAATTTCTTAACATTTTTCAATTTAACTAAGAGGACAATTTTTTACGATTTTTAAAAATTTGTTAATAAAGTTCTTAATACGTCGATACTTGTTGGTATGCGCGTAACTTACTCGCTACTTGTCAAAAAGTATTGAGATCTCGATACTCGATACTACTACTACTACTACTTATTAATTAAAAGTATCGGCCGATAGTCTGTGGTGTACGGTGGGTTGTTGTTGTAATTTAGCGGCGGTACGGTGGGTCTTAGTTTTTGGTGGAAAATGCTGAAGTCACTACTTGACCAGATATAAATCAGGAAAACCCGACTGTCGTGGAAGCGAAGGGTTGTTGGGAACACGTAAAGAAGCCCACCACTTCAGCTGTACACTGGCTTATTCCTCCACTCCGAAATCGAGTAGGACCCATTAAGATTTTGTTAGATGAAGTTCAGGTAGAGCCACGGAACGAGATGTGCATCTTTACATTCTGCGTCCTTTGGCGTTTTAGAGCAACGGAGTAGCATGCAACTTGATATTGTTTTGTTATGTTATTTTATAAGAATCAAAATAGATGCTATTGGAATTTGGTGTGGGGAAATAAGCTATGCGAACTTACCACGGAATCAGGCCGGCATGTAACTTCTTTATTTTCTATGTTCTTTGCCGGTAGAGGAACGGAACGGGAAGTGCAGCTCCTTTATTTTTTTTTTTACACTTGATTGCAAGTATACACGATGATAGCGAATATTCCTAGCTTCTATCAGCAGTTATACGTCCTTCATGTTTTAAAACCGCTTCCATTTTGCTCAATTTCTCACATCTATGAAGTTTACTTCATTCAGCGATTTTCGGCGATTCCCTGAATAATATCTGCTTCTGCATTTGTTTTACCGACACATCTATTATCTACCATCGAAATGTACTGAACAGAGCTTCATTTAGTAAAGCATCACCACCTTTTTATTTGCGAAAGCCGAAGCCGCCCATTCACAACCTCAAACAGCATTAGCAAATTTGTATTATTGGCATGTGAATATTTCGATATAAACCTCTACTCAAACTGATTTGAGTATTTTAAGATACTGATACTTAATTGTTTTGCATATTACCTAGAAACAAGATACGCTTACTTGGCCCCAATTTTCTTACCAATATTTCTTCTTGGTCTTTTACAAATTAAACTCCCGTTTTCAAGCTCAAATTCTTCAAACGATTCTTACATATTTTAATTTTCTGCACTCGTTAGCTTTTAGAACTAAATCAAACAAAACAATTCGCATTAATTTGTAGATATAAACACACAACTTGCCTAACGTCGCTAAAAATCGGAATTTGTAACTTTTTCAGGTATACATAGATCAACTTAGGGATGTGTTTCTTGAGCAGAACTCAGATGAGAGTTCGCCCAGAGAATGTTGAAAAACGCTCTCTAAAAAATCAATTATTCACAATAAAATCGCAATCGCAATTTATCGCCGTCTTCACGTGTTTGAAAATCTCGCTTGCGTCCTGCTCTTTTTTCGCAAGCCGGTTACTCTTACTGTACTAACTGTTGAGCAGGTTCTAAGGTGACTCCATCCGTTACAAGTGTTGTACCTAACCGAAATGGAGCTCGGATGAAGCCGTCTCTAGCAAATGCAGTCGAAGTAGGTTTCTCGTCCGGGGTTGGACTCAACGTCCGCCCGGAGAAGAAATATGTGGAGCGATTTGGCTGTTGGGTATTGCTCTATGACGAAAAACTACTGATGGGGTTCGCCGATCAGAACGCCGCAACAAAAGCCCTTGTTAGGGAAAACCCCGAGTAATTTCCATGCGTAGAAGCAGCACTCATGGAAATGCGATCCAGACTTATACTGACCAACCGAAAGAGCCGAAGACAACAACAGAAACTTTCAAATTGAAATGGGGAATCGAAATTTGGCAGTTTGAGGACAGTGAGCATTAGGGCCAGTACCCGTTTAAACTTAGATTAAGTAAACTGAGTTTAAATTGAATAGCTGGCTGACATTTGATTGACTGATCTTAGTTTAAACCTGCCAAAACGGGCATTTAAACTTTGTTTACACCACGGCCTTACACTAAAAAACTGGCCCATAGAGTACGCCAGTGTTGTACATATGTCTATTCTTGCGCTAAATGTCAAATATTCGGAACTGCATCGTTGTATACCTTTACTGCCCTAATGTTACATACATTTCTGTGAATACATACATATGTATGTTCCTACGTATATCCAAGGTGCATCTATACAAGGTGGTGTTACTAGAGCAGCTTATTTGATATTTTTGTCTCTACAGTAGTATAGCAGAATGTCATCCAAGACGAAATGGCGAAAATTATCTCCTATTTTGTTTCCTTTTGACATCCTCATGTACCAAAAAGCAATAACAAAATACACGGGATTTTTAGGTTGCAGACAGAGTGGAAGCGAAGCCGAAGATGAAGATGAAGACGAAGCCGTCAGCTTGAAACTGTTCGGTATTGTTTTCAGAGACGAATCGCTTGCTGTGATGAGTTCTTTATTCCAACAAGCGCTTCTTAACTGGAAAATGACAGCATAAATGAGAAAGCAACACGCACCCACCTGGATTATGGGCAGCTGCTGCAGCTCGCCAGTCAAAACGATAGTTAGCGCTGGCCTGATAAACAGCGTATCATGGCGACCTATGCTTACCTCGGCATCAGACCATCTTCCCATTGTCATCTCGATCGATAAACCAACCGGATTCGCTTCCGCGAAACACCGGACCTATGTAAACTTTTCCAAAGCGGATTGGAAAGGCTTCGCGGAATTTACGGAGATCACCTTCGCTGCGCCCGCCACACCAGCCGACGTCCACCTTGGTGAACGTAAGTTCCGCAGGGTTGTCACTGCTGCTGCAGCTCGCTTCGTACCGGCAGGATGCATTACGGACCCCCGTCTAAACTTCCCTGCTGAAGTGGCTGTTCTAGCCAATGAGCGTAACAACCTTCGTTATGCCAATCCCGGAAATCCCCGTATCAGGGATCTCAACGGGGAAACCAGCCAGCAAAGGAGAATATTATCGTCCGATAACACTACTTTCCCCGGTAGCGAAGACACTTGAGGCCTTGCCACGAACCACCTGACCCCAGCGAAGCATCAGCATGGTTTCCATAAAATGCACAGTACAACAGCAGCACTTAACGCCATAAACACGCGGACAACACGTGACCTAAACCGCAATCGTCCCTGTGAGAGAACTATTCTAGTAGCGTTGGACCTGTCAACGGCGTTTGACACCATCAGCGACTCCTCGTTGCTAGAAGACATAGAGGCCTCATCTCTCCCACATAGGCTCAAACGGTGGTCATCGAATTATCTAATTGGTCGACACTCGTCAGAAAAATAAAACAGGGGGTTCCACGGGGTGGTGTCCTTTCCCCATTACTGTTAAACTACTATATTTCAAAGTTCCCTCAACCACTAGAGGGAGTCTCAATTGTCTCCTATGGGGACGATTGTTCGATAATGACGTCTGGGAATGGAATTGATGACTTGCGTTTGAAAACGGGTATCTCTCCGAGCTTTCTCGCTTCTTCACAGCTAGGAGCCTAACCCTCTCCCCTACAAAATCCTCTGCGACCTTGTTCACCACCTGGATGAAGGAGGTCAGACTACTGCTGGGAATTCACGTCGATGATACACCAATTCCGACGGTGAATAATGCCAAAATACTCGGAGTAATCTTCGACAGTCTGCTCTCCTTTCCTGCACATGCAACCGCTATTGTCAACAAAGTACAGAGCCGCAACAAGGTTCTCAAGTCGCTAGCGGGCAGTACTTGGGACAAAGGCAAACAAACGTGTGGTCGCTGCGGACTAGTAGGACGCAGTGGATGAAGCTGCAGAAGACTCAAAACACTGCACATCGGACATCGACTGGATGCCTTCATATGTACAAACAACCTGAACAAAGTTATAATACCCTTGTGCACAAGTGCGTTCGGGTATAAAAAGAAAACAAAACCAAAGATGCGTAAATATAAATGCAAAAATTAAGATCAAGGTTAATTTAAAAATTTTACTATTATAAGGGCAAAGGTGAAGGGGAATATGTAGAAATAGAAAATGATAAACATAAAGATGATACAGATAAATATTAGGAAAAAGATGAGGACGAGTAAAGATGAAGATAAAGGAAGAAAGATTAAAATAAAGGTATTTATAAAGAAATTGATATAGTCACAGAGATTCAACCTGGGAACTATTTCGGGATTTTCGGCGTTCTCGGGACTAATCGATATAATAATCGATATTTTTATCGCATTGTTACAGATACTTGTATCAACTTTGTTATCGACTTGGGTATCGATATTTTAATGACTTTGATATCGATAATGTTATCGACTTTGTTATCATTATTTTCATCGAGTTAGTTATCGATTTTGTTATCGATTTGGGTATCAGTTTTATTATCGATATTTTCTACGGCATGACCGTGATGTGGACGTGCTTGTATCTCTCTCTCTCTCTATCAACAGCAAATTTGATGTTTTTATACGAACTTCTACGGTACCTTGCGTACACGTTCGTGGGTAACCGCGCTCCAACATTTATTTTTCCTCTTCCAGCGATAAGTGTCCGTGTCCAACAGCAACGGAAAAAATAACATTTTCCCACTAAGAGGTGCACACATCTACAAAAAAATAAACCACCTTATCTGTTTTGTGGGTTATTTTTCTCTTAAATAGTGACGGTTATGTTGGGTCACTTTCAAAGTGGAGAGGGATATTTTCGACTTCTGGTTATGTGTTGTTGCCATTCTTTGGACTAAAAATTTGTTTTTTTGCGTTCTTTTACTTTTTCCTTTTATTCTCTTTTAGTGAGCGCATTTTGCTTACGCTCTAGCATTTTGACACTTTTCAGATTATGGTCAGAAAAGATAAGGAATGGACCTTATAAAAGGGCGTGGCAATTGCATATATATAAGTAAAAATCCCGTGTTTTTGTTGTTGCTTTTTGGTACATCAGGATGTCAAAACGAAATGGGAGATAATTTTCACCAATTCGTTTTGTTGACATCCTAAAGTTACGCCATTTCGTCTTAGATGATATTCTCCCATGATGCAATAATACAAGGTGGTATCAATTGTGACAGCTCGATTTGACACTGCCAGTAGAATGAGAAGAAAAACGGGAAGAAATTAGGCCCCATTTGGGGGAAAAATATAAAATTTAAAATTTTTTCCTAAACAAAATTTGCTTTTTTAAAGTATATTCGTAATGAAATGAAATAAAATAAGATAAAATACCTTAAAAAAAAAATTTGTATACTGAGAAAAAATTAAAAAATATTCAATTATATTATTAGGCAAAGAATTGTTAAAGAAGTAACATTGGTCGCGTTCATAAGACGTAGCTGTTTAGCTCATCTGCTACAAAACTGCTGGCAACTGTTGAACCCAGCAATTACGTCTTAGAAACGGCTTGGTGAATATGCTGCCAAATGAACAGCTGATAAATGTAAACAAATGAAATTGCAACAATTTTGCAGTTAATTAAACAGTGTAAAATTATATAGCAAACATCTTAAAAACATATATTTAGAAGCGTAAATAGTATTATTATAAAATATTTTAGTTACTTTATGACGCCAGTACTAAAATATAACAAATTGGTTTGCAACTGCCACCTAACAAAGCGGCGTTAAATTTAATATAAGCGGGTAAGTCTTTTCGATCAGCTGTTTAGGCCAAGCCCAACTCGTTGAGTTCAGGTAGCGTAAAAATTTTCCGCTGAAAAAATGGCGGAAAGTTGCCAACTGTTGACTGAGCGTAACTAGTCAACTGTGCGTTTCTAAGACAAATAGCCAACGGTTGGGCAACAGCTACGTCTTATAAACGCGCCCATTGTCTGACCTAAGGCAGACAATATGGCGGAATTAGAGCGAGAAGTTGCCAACCGATAACAACTTGTATTATTGCATCATGATATTCTCCTGTACTAAGGTAGAGACAAAAATACCCAATCAGCTGTTCAATCAACACCACCTTGTATCGTTATATTGCGATGGCTTATTTCTTCTTAATTTGCGCATATTTACATATCGATTATGTCTGCCTATGTTCATGGGCTATGGAACTTTTTCGTGCTAAAATTAGAAATTGTGAACGCCGAAGTTCTCTGGTATATGTTTTAGCGGCGTTGAATGTACCCCAGATGACAGTAAAGTGACAATCCGTGGTATGTTCAATGCACGATGAAATTGGGAAGGTTGAAAAATGAGAGGCTGCGTCCGAAAAATAATAAATTGAAAAGCTGAAAAATGTTCAGATGAGGAAAAAAATTTTAACGAGGGAACCGCATTGCTCGCAGCGCACCTTCGACGTAGACATAACTGAGTCAAAGATAATAGTGACCGATCAGTAAGGGTAAAAACGTGAAATTGTTAGATTTTTGGCAAAAGGGGAGCCTTGGGACATTGAAGAAAAGTGAAAATTAAAAAATTTAGTATGAACTCTAAAGTGGCACAGGTAATGAGCCTGTATTTGCAATGAAAGTTCAATCGATGATGCAAGAACATTTGCAATCAATGGAAATTTTTATTTTTCCTTTTTTTGGTATAGAGAAATAATTTTTACTCTTGTGGTTTGTATTTTCTTGCAGTAAAAAGAGCAAAGCAGAGAAGAATAACGATTTATAGTGCGAAAAATAGCCTTATTATGTCTCAGCCAATCAAACGGGACACGGAGAACAATTTGTCCGATTCTGAGATGAGTGCCTCTGGAGGTGCATTCGAATTTAGTGATTCGAATTCTAGTAGCAGTTCTAGTGTAAGTTCATCAACATCATGCTCGTCAGATACGGAAGAACAGCAATTAGATGCTCTTGAATTGGCTAAAGTACTCAAAGAAGTGTTGCGGCTTCCTCGAGGATTGTGCGAAAATGCAAAAGTATTCCATGAATTTTTCTCTGCAGAGACTTGGAACATTCTTCCTGAAGCGACCCGCCAACAACTTGAGCAATATTTGCCGAATTTTACAAATTTGGTTACACCTCAAAAAGCAGCTATTGAGAGACAGCGTACTTTGGCAATGTTATTCAGTGGTGAATTAAAGCTATTCGGTCATTCACCACTGGTCGACTTCCAACATGATTTGGAGGATGGAAACTACAGACCAGACGTGGTCCGCTTGCGAAAAAGTATTTCTAAATCCCGTCGGCGGGAGAAACGATTTCAGAGATGTGAGCGTTATGGTCAGCTTGCAAAAGAGTTATTTCTATCTAGGGAACGTTTACTTCGGTCGGCCCTCAAATCAGCTCCAGAGACGCTATTCCGTACGGAGCGTAACATAAGACGTGAACAAAATATATTACATACCGACACAAAGTTATGTACAGTGCGCTCCCGTAAACGTTTTCGAAAAGAAATCGAACATTTAACAGAGCAGCTGGGTCTTAAAATGAGCGAATTAAGTGCAGATGAGGAAGAATTTGAACTCGAGGGCGTGATATCGGATGATTTCCATCGTAACATGAAAGTTGATACAAGCTCTGCATTGAAAACATCAGCACCTCCATCGGATCGCTTCATATATAGTACTTTGTTTAAGCGGCGCCATGAACTTACGGATGAGGATGCCGTTCGTGCCGACCAGCATTGGCAACAGCCGCGACTGTCGAATAGAAATTTTCGAACTTATATCCGCGAACACAAGCGTCGCAAACTTACTGAACCGGTAAATTATCTTTAATATTAATATTACTCTCAAAACTATATACTTACATGACTAAGTATATTTGCATAATTTCAGACATTACCTGACTTTGAAACTTCTGACATTCGGTTGCGGGATGTATGCGCCAGAGCACAGATGGGTAGCAATTTCAAACATCTCTTTGGTGTGGGCAAAACACTGGGCCGAAAACCCAAAAACAAGCTTCTAACCAATACGGAGCCGCCGGCATTGGTGCCTATTCAGTCCATTGAACGGAATGCTGATAATTCTCTGTGTCCAGAAAAGGAATCTCCCGAAAAAATTAATATGCATTCGGTGGAGACCAACCCAAAGTGCATAAAAGAACAGCAAACATCGCAGTTTCAACAGCATTTGCCTGAACATACAAGCGCCACAATACAACATCCATTCCTGCCTGAAGATGGTGCACCATTTAACATTTTAGATGGTGAAGTCGAATTACAACAAGAAGAGGTAGAAACATACGCCACGTGTGAGGAGACCATACCTCGGTTTGTTATTTCCAATGAAATCGTTTTACCCTCTATTGAACAGAGCGACGTACCGCCACAAAAACTATTGCAAACACCACATAAGGAAGAAAATAATCAGGCAGTTTTAAAGGGAAAATTCCAACTATCAGAGAAAACTGAACGGGGTATAATGGTTGATCAGAACATACCTAAGCTGGAGCCTTTTTCGGCAATGCACAGAACAACCATCGAAAAAAGTCGATTGATTCCACAGTCCAGCTACAGCCCGTGTAGTTCTTCATCTGGCGTGGCAGCAATAGTGAGTCCAATTAAAAGAGCAGCACCACCAAGTATATCGTCTACAAAACCGATTAGCCCAGTAAACTTTGGAGCTTCATCAGAATTACTCCAAGAAACCCATGCGTGCTTCTTTTCGCTCATACGAGATTTGTTTTGTGCAACATCGCTCCACAGAATGCAGTATAATGAATTGCGATCGCGCATCGACGTCTGGCTACGTAACCCCATTACAGCATTAAATGACTGGTATGCCCAGGCAGATAACTGGTCCGGCCTACTAATGTCCGCTATAAACTTCCTGGCTGGCGACTTTGTTGACCTACCTGAAGAGTATGTTCCATACATCGAGTTCAAACCACAGCAAAATATTTTCCAGTGGATTGGAGCAGGCCGAGACTCTGACACACGTCTGTCAACACTCTGTAATTTTTGGCTGCAACGCCAATATGAAGTGCCAGAACGGGCGCAAGCAGCTCTTTGTCCCAATCTTACAGAATCGTCAAGTGATGCAGCAGGAATATCTACTGCTGGTCTTAACTCCATAGAAATGGAGGAACCTGCCATTTCATACGATGGGGGCGTATCGCCGCCGCCGCCACCACCACCGAGATGCCCCACTACATGGACAGTGTGTGCGGCTACATCTGAAGAAGTCATTGAGTTCCAGCGCCAGGAGCGCGAGCGATTCGAGCAACCGCACCGTGCTTACACGTATAGAATGCACGGCTATGAAAGCGTTGTTGGCCCAGTCAAAGGAATATACACACAAATGTATGCCTTGACTAAAGCTCGTGGACATAGCATGATGATCGGCAATCGTCCCAATTTCGTCACCATACTAACACTTGTCCGCGACGCCACAGCCCGCTTGCCAAATGGTGAGGGTACACGCGCCGATATTGCTGAGCTATTGAAAAGCTCGCAGTACATAAATTTGAAGGAGGGCGAAAATGTGCTACAAACAACAGTGAGTGGGGCCTTAGATCGTATGCATACTGAACACGATCCTTGTGTACGCTATGATCCAAAACGTAAGATTTGGATTTATCTGCACCGCAATCGGAGTGCAGAGGACTTTGAGCGTATACACCAACAACATCAGGGTATAGGAAAATCTAAAAAAGTAGTGCATCGCAAACCTAAAACGAAAAATTCGACCGCAGCGAAAACCCCATCTGAAATAGCAGACAGCAACAATATAATCTCTACTGGCGACGAAGAGAATATTGCTGGATCTATAGCACCGACCAACAATATTTCCAAAGTTGGCACAGCCTTTTCCATGCCTGCATTGGTTCCAGCAAATCCAATTATAGTTAGTAGCCAAAGTGCCCAAACACAGCAGAAAGTAGCATCTGTCACATCAAAACCAGCAGTAACACGGTCTCTTCCGGTTCCGCCACTTAAGTACAACATACCACAGCAGAAGTCGTTGCTCAAGTCAACTATGCAGTCGCATCCTCAACGACAGCAGCACCAACAAACTAGTACTACTGTTGGCATTGACACTCAATTGCAACACAACCAGAGAATCCAACAGCGTGTAGCAAATAGCAATAAGAACACTCCAACAGAAATAAATTCAGAAGAGGTCAAGGTCAACAAACAGTTAAATTTAACCATATCACCAAACAAATCCAACTTATCGGTATCTAATACTGGTGGTGGAAATTCTACGCCCATTATTGTAGCTACACCAACGGGTCTTCAAACAGTGCACGTTTCCAACGCCACTGTCCTGACAACATCAACGGCGAACTACGTTCCCCAAGTAATGCAACAGTCTTCCTTGACTGCAACTCTGGGTGGCAAGAAATTGGCTCTAAACAAACCAATATTCATCAATCAAATTAGGGGCCAATCAGCAACGGCTACTACATCAAAAACCAAAGTTTCTCCACAGCAAGTTTACAAGCAACAACTCAATGTAAGCCAGCAGCAACAACAAAAACACGCACAAGGTTTTATAATTCCAATAAGCATGGCAAATTCCATTGCTGGCTCCGTGAGCGTAGAATGCCATAGTTCAGTACCAAAAGAATCAAATTTGCGAACATTGCCCGTTACCTCTGGATCTAGTGAAGGTACGACCACGATTTACATGGACAACGCACAGTTCATTAGTACCTCCGACAGCACACCACAGGAACAATTACAACAAAAGCAAACACAAGCGAAAAACATTATACGATTAGTGCCAAGTATTTCGAGCGGTGCAGTGAAATCGATTTTACAGTCGACTTCAGCTGGCAGTGTTGTCAATGCCAGAAAACAGCCTGTGCATATTATTGGACACCGCGTTGTGACTGGTAATGCTGGCACAGGAGCAGGACGTGCTCAGCCACAGCAAGGTAAACAACTAGGTAACAGCGGTGGCCCGCAAACCTGTGGGGTTGCTTCGGTCGTGGCAGCAGGAAGCGGATCTACGCTCATAAAAATGTCGCCACAGACATTTGCAACCTTGCAACAAAAACAGGGCCAACATGTTGTTGTAAAGCAGTCTCCCGCCTCCTCATCGTCTGCAACAAACCAGCAACATCGTGTCTATGATAAGACCACATTTTTGAGTAAATTGAGACTTACGATTAATTACATAGTTAAATATTAAATTTATTTTGTATTTTTAGAAAACACTACAATTGTTACCCAGCCTGCCACTTCATCTTCACAAGCCATAAGCAAAACGATCTTTATGCAACAATCTCCCACCACTCCAGTCATTCATAAGTCAGGAAACGGTGCAACTTCCGTAGGCTCACAAACCTCATCTGTACCTATCTCTTCAGCTGGAAAGGTGCACACCATTAGTGCCACCAATCTTTCTTCGCAGCAACAACGTGTACTTCTCCAGAACTTAAAGCAACAGCAGCATATGCCACAAAGCTCGCAATTAAAATCAGTTCAAGTTGTAGCTAGCGGCCCAAGTACTCCTCAAACACAGACGCAACCGATGGAACAATCAAAAATTCACCATTTGGTATCGCGCGCGCAAACGCTCACAGTGTTACCGTCGCTCGCATCCAGCGGTGTTGCAGTTGGACAACAGGCGAACACTAAGGCTGTGACAGTGATGGTTTCGCAAGCTCAAGCACAAGGTCTTCCGCGAGTATTAAAGGCGTCCACTACGAATGCGCAGTCCCAGCAGCAAGCTATCACAATATCTACAAATGACACTTCTGGTACATCACCAACATCTGGCACTCGAATACTGACCACTTCTAGTGGTCAGATAATTTCTTTGGAAAGCTTACTTCAGAAACAAAGCAGTGGGGGGTCTCTAAAAATTAGTTCAAGCGGGGGTGTTGGCACTATTGTTAAAAATCTACAATCTCTCAATGCTATACAACATCAACAGCAGCCTCAACTCATAACCTCCACCGGAAATTCAACAACCTATACCGTAGTGTCACAAGGCAGAAGCATAAGCACCCAGCGGGCCAACCCAACGCAGGCCTCTGATAGCACGAATACGCTAACAAAAACGACTCTAGTGGGTGAGGGCACCGGCCGCCTTTTGGTCTCAACTGGTGGACAGCTTAACACACCTCAAATTGCAAAAGTCTTCGCTAAAGCAGGAACTACAAACAATTCTGCGAATACTGCAAATGCAGGTGGAAATATTAGAGTTATCAGAAATGCAACCAATGTTGGAAATGTTGGACTTGGAGGTGGTTTCAATATCAGCACTTTACAAGGCAAACAAGTAGTCTTTGCCTCTAAGCCACCGACAGCGGTTGTTAAAAGCGTTGGAAACGTCGTCCAAGCACCACATACACAAACCACCGGAATGGTAATTGGAGGGCAAACTGTAAAATTGCAGCGAAATGTGAGTAACATATCAATTATAGCTACAAAACGATTTTTCCATTAATGGTTTCAGTTACTTAAAAAAAGTCGATAGTGAAGTCAAAAAAGAACAGGAGGGATACAAGCCTTGCATTTCAAACAAAATTTTAATGTTTGAAGGAAAGTAAAGCGAATGTTACACGCACAATATTTATAGTGAAATTTGTATGACGATAAATGACAGCCTACGGATCGCAATGAGTATTGTCAATATCATCAATCCCAATCAAATCAATCCAATATCGCGATAAATATTGAGCGTGAAGCTTTCGCCTATGTTAAATGGTGTGACAAAAGATTTGTAAAGCGTGTTTTTTTTTTTTTTTTTTTTGAAATCTAGAGAGCCAAAATAGCTAAATAAATTTGGAGATTTTTGAGTAAATATGTATTCTTCGCTGGTAACAAACATTTTATAACCGGTAACCAAAATTCGCTCAAGTTTTTGGTAATAATTATACTTTTTTTTTTTTTGATTACTACTAGTTGATTTCCACCAAGTCTTAACTGCAGTTTATGTTTATTGGAAAAAGATCTCCTTTCTCCTTTACAACTCGAAAAAGGAAATCTATTAATAGAAACAGGCGAAAGGAAAAAACAAAACTTAAGAAAAAAACCTTGCCGATCACCCCATGTTGAAATTATTGGGACTTCTCTGAGCTCTTAACTGCAGTGGAAATAGGCTATAAATATCAGAATAGCTTTAATGTATAACAATAAATTACATCAGCTATTTTTAACCGAATTCCAAAAAGGAGGAGGTTATCAATTCGTGAACATTTCTTTTTTATGTACAACTTTAATGCACTTACGGTTAACATTTTTTGAAATTACTAGAAAACCAAAATAATAGTTGCATTTATAATTAGAAAAACTGAAGGACAATTTCATAACTAAATGTGGGGGGTCAAAAGTGTTTTATTTACATAAACACTAAACAAAATTAATTCACGTAAATTACTGCGAGCAGAAAAATAGTGGCACATAACAAAAAGTCATAAATTTGTGTTAAATTGTTAATTTTTAGACTTTTACTTAGTATTTGGTAGCATGACCGTTGTTTTTAATCACTGCTACATAACGACTTCTCACTTCTAGCATAAAGCTTGTGTTCTCGGAGCCGTCTCCTTACCGTATGAACACTATATGGTAACTTTAGGTTGTCCAAATTTTTCAAGCTGACATTGTGGGACGAGTCTTCGAATATATAATAAGTTTGCCGTATGGTAGTCGTTGATAATTGCTGTTTGCCGTTTTTCAGGTTTATTTTCATACGTTAACGTATTCATGGAGGCTGAACATCCACCAATTTTTTCACTTCTTTATATGTTTTCCCATTTTTCATAAGGGTTTTAATAATTTCACGTTTTTCATGAGTGCGGTGCAGACTTCGTTCCACTAAAAATTACAAAAATATGTTTTTGTCTATCCCGGCTAAATATATAACAAACCAAGTCATTAAGCTTTTTATTCCAACAACGGAAATATTCTTAATTGAAGTAAAATTTGAGACTATTTGTTCTGCACTACTATTTCACTGCTCGTCAACAATCGGAGCAGAACTCTACATCAGATTTTTCTGAGTAAATCTTGAAAAGCACTGAAGACATGACAAACCTGGTGTGGAGTTCTACTCTAAGAGACAAATTAAACATGAGTTTTTTTCATAGCCTCAGCACCAAAACAAGGGCTTCAATTCTACACCATCCAATGGGGGTGGCAATGTAGGTGTACTTGCAGCAGACTCCAGTGCTCAAATGCAAACCGTTATAATGGGCAATCAAATATTGCGAGTCCAACAAGTGCCGACGGTGAAAACGGTCGGATCTACCGGGTCTCCGATGCAACACCGCGTAGCAACTTTACCAGTTGGAAGCTTTGTTGGCGGTACAACTACGTCCAGTAGTGTAGTTTTGAATAATGGCCCGGAAACATCAGCAAATACCACAACGGTGAATTTACCTAAAACTTTAGTGCTCGGCAATAGCGGCCAAACAATACGTGTGCAGCAATCAGTTCAAACAGGCCACTCCCAATTACAGCCTGTAGCACCGCAGACCCAGCCACAGGCCCAGATGGTTACTGTTAAGAATACATCCCAGCAGGTAGGAATTTGTAGATGGAATACATTTTTATGAATAATTAAATTTATATTTAAAAATTGGCAGGGTGCAAAAACATCAAATGTCGGCCGTGTAGTTCTGGCTGTACAGGGTGGTGGGCAAATATTCCTTTCGCCTAATTTTCAGGGCAATACATTAAACCTGAAGTCATTGCAAAATATGAAAGTGGTTTCCTTAACGCCGCGTACTAGCACTGTTACAGGATTGACACAGGCACAGGACAAGCAAACAACAGTGTCACAACAAAAAAGTGGAAGCAGCAACTCTTAAAGGGAGCTAGTTTTTCTGAATATTTATGTTTTGTGAATGAATGTAAAAAATTAACCGGTATAATTATACATTTGTATGTACGAGACATGAGTATAAACATAACTACTAAATTAATTGACGTAATAGCTGCTGAAAACACATGTAATGTATGACTAATTACTCTTTTCTCATAAGATATTTGGCTTACATCAATATATTCAATAGTTCTAATTAATACTATTTAAACTTAAATAAGAATTCAAACTTGTAAGTGAAACCATGTATACAGATTTTTATGAATTCTCGGATTTTCATAATTTAAAAAAAGTAATTTAGAAAATGGTTTTGAACGCTTTTTCAGTTTTATTAAATATACAAATAAGCTTCGATATTTAATTAGAACACGAAGATATGAATTAAAAAATATGCTACAGTAGTTTTAAATGTGCCTGTCAGTTAATTGCTTGCTTTAGAAGCGTCTGGGCACACCGTATGCTGGTATACTACTTATCATTCCACCGGAAACAGGTCTATTTGGGCCTTGTGGTATATTTAAACCGCCAGGTATCGACATTCCAGTTGCACCCATTCCCGCTGATTCATTCATAGCAGCCATGCCACTACTTACTCCTCCAATGGGTCTATTGTGCACACCTTGATTTGCTTGAATATCTGACAAGCAAGCTTTCCATTCTTCCAAACGACTGTAGTGCTTGTTCAGCAGCTGTTCTTTGCGTGCTATCTCATTGCGCAAGTCCTGGTTTTCATCTTTTATTAACATATCGGGCTTCAGTGTGGATACAAGAAAACGTTTTTGTAGAAAGAATGCCTCCATCTGCCGGGCAACGTCAATAAAGCGATTCGTTGTTTTTTGTACCTCTAGTTCGATCTCATCCTTGTTAGTGCCAGTGTTAGGTTCTGATTTGGTCAACGACAAAAGACATGCCTGGAACGCTTCCTCGAACTCGTCCATAAGATTGCCATTCTCGTTACTAGAAGAAGCCATAACTACCTGAGACGTGCAAAATTTAAGCAATGAGAAATAAAATGTACTGAAAGCCAAAATAACATTCGTTTAATTTCTATAGTTACCAGATCGATGCCCAATGGTCGACGTTCGATAAATTGGTCAAAATCTAAATATATGGCATCGAAAATTTCAAGAACCAGCCGTCTTCACACACGATGTAGCGAACTGAAGGTGGCGTATTCCGCAAACCTCTATTTTGGTTTTGCCGATTTTTACAGCTCTCGATTTTCGTAAACAACGGCTCAAAAACTTTAAATGCCCTGAAATTCACTATACTTTCATTAAAACCATCTTTTTTCACATTTCCTTTATAAATTTTTATTACAAATCATATATTTTCACAATTTAAAGCAAAACACGTTTCCTATCGGAAAAGGGAATATTAATATAATTGACTTATCTCACATTTATTTACTGCGGGCTCCAGTAATCGACAAAACTTTTCGTATACATACAGCGTTTAAGCGTTCTTTCTCTCGTAAGCGAGATAGTTTGGGCATTTGAAATTTGACTGGACATTTGACAGCATACTGTTACGATTCAAGAATGATAGAATACAGGACTGCGCCCATGAGAGAGGATTTTTAAGCGTAATTTTTGCGTGACGTCATTTTGGTGCAATTACGAGAGAGAAATGCCAAAACGCACAGAAAAATATGTAAAAAATGCAGAAAAATGTGTTAGTATTAATATTAAATGGTGAAATTGGGCAGGAATCCAAAAAAATACAAAGATTAATTAATTAGAAACACGTAGTAATAATTTTGGACATGTAGCCCTTTACCCCACGTCTCCACCTTCTACTAAATGTGTCTTAACATCTGTCAAATTTCTGTTTTAACTTTACCCGTTTTCTCATATGGGGAACTTGCCAGAGTGTCCAGATTTGCCGATTTCGCGACAATTTAGCGATTTTTTTTTAGATATTTGCGCGTAAAAATTCAGCAAATTACCATTGGCGATTTTTGGCGATGTTTTCCCTTTAAATAAATTTTTCCCAATTATAATAATATACAAAACTTAGTTTTCCACGATAATTTTACAGAAGAGGCTAGTGAGCTGCGTGATAAACTTGACTTAAGAAGCATATTAAAATACTCAAAAATGTTTCATCACCCTAATTGAACAACTTTTGAACGGATTACATAGTCAATTAAATACTTTTAAAAAATGCTTGGATTTTGTCACCAGAAAAGTGTGTGAATCACAAGAGGGCGAGTTTCAGGGACCTGCCAATTCACTATTTTACTTTGAAGGAAAGAAAAGCAGCGGAAACTAAATATTTAAATCTTTTAACTTTCCCATGGAATAACTTTTCTCAGAACCATTCCATCCGATTTTGAAGAGTTTTGGATAATTGCTACCGACAACGAAAACACTTAGAAAACGAGTTTTGGAATTGTGGGCTGAAGGATGTTCACACCGGCTGTTAGTGTTTTCGTTGAAATTTCTTACATCCTCTCATTGCAGTTTCGCTACACAAAAACAAAACCAAAGTGTTTTTCCCATATTTTCTTTTCATTAGCAACCTCTTACTTTCATTTATGTTTTACTTTGGCCAGCCAATTAACAATAAATACGAAAAAGCGCATTAAAAATGATAAAATATGACTTCCACTTCGATAAATAATCGAAAAAAACTAGTGAAGACACCGATTGGAACGAGTGGAACGTGAGTTTTCAAGTAGTTTTCAGCGAAAACTGGTTTTCGTTTGACAGATTTTACATGGACGAAAACA